AACAGATGATGACTTTTCCCCATAATGATCTTTCTTGTGCCAGAAAAGAGACTTGAAGATTGAGCATTATAGATGATATCTAGTAAGGAACACTCTCTTCGACTCAGTTTCAATTCAATTCCTAATCAATTTTTAATTCAAATTCTCATACTAGTGTTAATGTAGTTTAATTGTGACATAATCATTTTATGATTGAGATACCAACACCCCTGACTTAAAATTCTTATTCCGTTTCTACCTTTTAAGGTGAAAATTGAATACTCATTATCAAAGTATTTATGTTGTGGGGTAATAATCACTCAAACAAAAAGATTATGTAACTAATTTGTATATTTAGACTAATATTAAGAATCGATTAGAAAATGAAATGAGAAATGATCTCCACACAACTTAAATTCGCAACGAGAACTGAAAATTGTTAGAGAAATCTTTGGATTGTTTCAGAACGAGGTAAATATTAACAATTACGGACTGCCCAAAAGATTGTAAACAATTGTGGATCATAAGAGGCTGAGTGATAGTCCAGAAGAAGTGTACTCTTTAGACAGCCAGATATAAGTCAAGCATCACAATAGCCATTATGGATATCTGCAACAAATAACTATGGAGAAAAAATGAAGAATGAAATCAATATGGCTAGAGTACAATAAAGAATACAGGTTTGTGGAAGAATTAAACTAGCATACAGATGACACATCAAACACTAGATTGAAAACACCAGAAGAAACAGTTGGCTCTTATTAGTTTTTAGAAAATGAACCAGATCTGTCTACTCTAGGGGGTATTGAGAGGTTGCTCTCAAGCATAAACGAGAGATCATGCATCTGTGACATTAACATCTCCACATAATCAGTCTTTGATTCTCTTGTTTCATTGAAAAATCCATCTGTGGCAACCTCCTCGGAGTTCTCCCCGACTCTTGCGGCAGTATCATTCAGTCTGAAAAATAGGGAGTAAATTATGAAAGACTAATTAGTCAACTTACATATTTTTTTTCTTTTAATCATTTCAATGCATGCTATAACTTATGCTGGAGACACTAATTGTAAAATTGAACAACCGATTTCTTTAAGCAAAAGAAGCATTCATTTTGATAAGCCAGCAATCACTGGATGCTACCAATTTCTATTGAGCATGAGAATATATTTGACACTAAAGAAAAGAATCTATAGTCAGTAAAACTCTAGTATGGAGGAGGAAAGCAGATAACCATCTGTTGCTATTGTCAATGACTTCTTCAGAAGGAAAATTAAAATAACTCTACAGATCTCGTAGTAGTCATGCACACAAAAACATGAGAACATATCGCCTGCACACACAAATAGAGAAGGGATTGGAAACCAAAGCCCCTA